AAAGGACTCTGTAACAGGTGCTGAGGATGCAGCGAGAACCTGGCTGCCAGGTTCACTTTGACATGTTAAATAGGCACCTTAGCCATTTGCCCCAGGGCTTGAGACTTAACTCATAGGAGGTCTGTTTCTGCTGGCAAGTTTAGGTAATTGTTTTGAGGCGGACAGTGGGAATTTGGAAAGTGTATGTCTGGCCTTTTAGGTTAAAAAATGGGAAAATATCTTAGTGTATGGGAAGGATGTTTTGGTGCACTAGGCTACTTTCCAGAACACGAGGATTGTGGAGTACTCAGAGTCTGGGCCCTAGCAGTCCTGACAAATTAGAGACCCATCCCATCCTCAGTAGGCCTAATAGGAGAAATCCTAATAGGAAGCCTAAAAGCACATCTTTGGTTGTTTACTCTCACCCCTTTTAGGCCATATCTGAATTTATACAAATGAGGTGAGACATAATGCCTTCTCGGGGTAAATTCAAGATGGGGAATGCTATACACAGCAAACACATTTTGAATTGGCTGAGGCAGGAGGATTGCCAGAGTTTGAGGTCAGTCTGGGTTACACAGTGAATACCAGGACAGCCTGGGTGCAGAACATAAGAATAGAGCTTTGGTAGTGTGGAGAATACAGCTCACTTGGTAGAGTGCTGCCTTAGCATACTACAGGATCTTGGTTCAATTCCTAGCACTAAACAGGGATGGTGGTGCACAGGCCTAAGATTCTAGTGGTGGAAACAAGAGGAAATTTAGTTCAAAGTCATCCTCATCTTGCCTCCTGGCTGTCTTTGGTTACATGAGATTCACTCTCAAAACAGCAGGGTGCATAGCAAAAATGTGTGGAAGCCAGACATGGTGGTACATCCTTGTTTGAATATGCATTTCTGGAGAGAACTGTTATTTCAATTTTATTTTGTGTGTATGATGGTTGCCTGCATGTATGTCTGTGCACCATGTGTGTGCCTAGTGTTATGGAGGCCAGAAGAGGGTATTTGATGCCCTAAAAGTGGGCTTATAGATGGTTGTGGGTCAACAATGTGGATGCTGGGAATTGAACCCAGGTCCTGTTCAAGGATAGCAAATGCTTTTAAGCATCAAGCCATCTTTCCAGCACTGATCCCTGTAATTTTAACACTGGCCAGAGGATTAGGAGTTAAAGGCATCCATGGCTACATATCGAGTAGCTAAACTCACTGGATATGGTGATGCATGCCTTTGATCCCATCACTTGGCAGGCAGAAGCACTTGGATCTCTGTGAGTTAGATGCCAGCCTAGTCTACATTAACAATTTCCAGGTCTGACAGTGAGACCCTGTCTAACAAATAAAACACACACACACACACACACACACACACACACACACACACACACACACACAAAAAAAAAAAAAAAAAAAAAAAAAAAAGAATTTCACTTTAGCCAGGCTTATATTTTGACACTGTCTCACACTATAGCCAAAGTTGACCTCCATTCCTGCCTCCCAGATGCTGGGATTACTGGCCTGAGTTTCATGGGGATTTTAAATTTTTATGTCTTGATTGATTGATTTGATTTTACTTTTTTTTTTTTTCTTGAGATAGGGTTTCTCTATGTAGCCCTGGAACTCAATATATAGACCAGGCTGGCCTCAAACTGGTAGATCCACCTTCCTCTGCCTCCCGAGTGCTGTGATTAAAGGCATGAGCCACCATCATCTGGCTTAAATTTTGTTTATTATTGGTGTGTATGTGTGTGTGCACCACAGTGTGGATGGAGGTCAGAGGACAACTTTTATGGGGTCATATCTCTCATCTTTTACGTGGGTTTTGGGGACTGAACTCAGGTCATCAGGCATACATAACAAAAATTTTCATCCAGGGCTGATCTTTCTGTCTCTATCCAGAGTGTTAGAATTGTAAATGTGCCTTTGTACCTGTTTCTCGAAACCCCCAGAGACCACCAATGAGCCGGTTTCCAATGCAAGCACACAAGGGTCTTTTTATTCAGGTGTAACCTGGGCCACCACACGGCAGATGGAAGGAAATGTGGCAATGGCCACGAGCCCAGGTGTAGAGAGTTTTTATAGGGAAAAACCACAAGCTGGGAATTGGCAACTTGGGATTGGGTAGAAGGGGCAAGGTGATTTTTTTGAAACTATTGATCTAGATTTTTGGTGGCGAACCACAACCCGCTGAACAGGATTATCTGGACTGCTCAGCAGGATTATCTAGATATCTCCAAGGGCCATAAACCACAGACAGGATCCTGTTAAGCTTTCCTTTACTGTATAAACAGCAGACAGGATGTCTGCAGGAGGATACTGCTCTGTATTCGTTCAAGTTATCATGGCATATTCCTGAGCCTGTAAAGTTAAGTATAGGCCTTCACAGTGTACCACCACCAGATTTCATGTAGTGCTGGGGATGCAAGACAACATGTGCATGTTAGGCAAACCCTCTGTTGAATGAACTAGATTCCCAACTTAACCTTGTAGCTAGGCTGATAGGATGGAACTTGCGATAATCCACATGTTCCTGGACCATGGTCACTCATATTTGGCCCCAGAATCAACTACCTCTCCTCCCCTTTGAGCTGGGAGCTGTGTTTTATGCATCAGTAAGACCCACCTTTAAAGCACGATGGTGTCCTACTTAGTTTTGCTTTCTGTGCTGTGATAAAACAACCTGGGAGCTGGGAGGCGAGGGAGGTGTTATTTCATCTTACAATTCCAGGTAACAATTCATCACTGGGGGAAAGTCAAGGCAGGAAATAAAGCAGAGACCATGGAGGAACACTGGCTTGCTTTTCAGGTTCAGATTCAGCTACTTTTCTTATAACCCCAAGCCCACCACCTACCCAGTGGTGACACTACCCACAGTGGACTGAGCCAGATACAGCAGTCATTAAGCAAGAAAATGCTCCCACTGATGGCCTGCAGCCCAATATGATGGAAGCATTTTCTCAGTTAAGGTTCTCTCTTCCCAGATGACTGTTGTGCCCTGAGCACAAGACGCCCCCCCACTCCAAGAGACCACCAGAGACACAAACTCACTGAAATGCAAAAACAAGGTTTATTGGAGCAGTTTAAGCCACCAGGTAGTGACCTCATCAAGCCATCCAACACAGTAGAGGCTGGAGGAGGTGCCCGCCCCTCTGCAAGCTCAGTTTTTAAAGGCAAAAACCATAAGGCTACATTATTTAGGGGCGCTAGTACTGGTACAATTCTGATTGGCTCAAGTTTCAGGGGCTTTTCAGAATTTCTGTGTTATCTTACTTTGTAGTTTTAAACAGTTGTTTGTCAAACTTTATAGATTACCTCCGGCATTGGGGCATTCTGTGGTTAATCAATTGTTACCAGATAGTCCTTCAAACATCCTGACTTGGTACTTTGACCATCTCCGGCACTGGGGCATTCTATGTTTAATCAGTTGCTACCAGATGGCTCTTCAAACATCCTGACTTTGTCCTAGGACCTATGTCAGCAGCTCTGAGAATTTTGAAACTCAGGCCTATTTCAAGCTGGGGTGGGGGGGCTTGCTTGAAATGGGGGTGATTTGGTTCTTCAATGACCCTCATCTGTGTCAAGTTGACAGAAAATTAGCCAGCACATAAGGTTCAGGAATACTCATGAGCATTTACTTTTTTAAAATGTTTACTGTGTGGGATGGAGAAACTTCTTAGCAGTTAAGAGCATTTCCTATTCTTCCAGAGGACCTGAGTATGGATCCCAGCATTACTGTTAAGCAGTCGCAACTGCCTGTTGTAGGGAGAAGGGTGCTCGTCTGAGCTCAGAATATACCCAACACTGAATTCTCAGTGCAAAGTAGATTTACCCTGGAGCAGGGTGATGGGAGTGCTGCCTTTGGATCAGGCAAAGGCAGACTACAATCAGCAGCTGTCTCTGTAGAAGGGGGTTTTAAGGGGGAAAGAGGGAAGTCTGTGCTCGGGTGAGTTTCTAAGTCCTGATTGGACAGGGTACCCAAAAAATGAATTTTGATTGCTGGACCTTGATGTTTTGATAGTTAGACAATGGTGATCAGTGTCAGTGGCCAAATAAGGGAATGGACCCCGGGGGATAGCTTTAAGAATATAATCTAACAGTTTAGCAAGAAAAAGGGGAGAGGAAAGGGCACAGCCTGTCTGTGCTGTGTTTGCCATGCTCAGGCCTGTTAGAGAGCCCTTCACTTGTAACCCTAGCTCTTGGGGATCTGTGATGATATTTTGTTTGTGCTCTAACAAATAAAGCTTGCCTGGAGATCAGAGTTTGGAGCTAGCCTTTGATCTCAGTAGTTGGGAGGCACATGCCTTTAATCCTAGCACTTGGGAGGAGGAAACAGGAAATGATATGGCTGGGTGGAGAGAGGAAGTGATAAGGCAGGGCGGAGACAGGAACTCAGCCCTTTCAGTCTGAGGATTCCTAGAGGTAAGAAGTCTTTCTAGTGGCTGGCTGCTCTACTCTGCTCTTTCAGCTTTCACCCTGATATCTGACTCTGGATTTTTATTTATAAGCCCAATTAGAATTCATGCTATAGGGATCTGATCCTCTCATCTCTGAAGTCATCCAAACACCCATGTCATGTGCACACATAAACACATGCACAAACAAAATAAATCTTAAAGGTAAAGTTGTCTTTGTTGTCCAAGGTATTTCTGGTTGTACCAGGTCTTTGAAAATGATGCATGAGCCGGGCTGTGGTGGTGCACACCTTTAATCCCAGCACTCTCGAGGAAGAACCAGGTGGATCTCTGTGAGTTTGAGGCCAGCCTGGGCTACAGAGTGAATTCCAGGACAGGCACAAAACTACATAGAGAAACCTTGTCTCGAAAAACAAAACAAAACAAAACAAAAAGAAAGAAAGAAAGAAAGAAAGAAAAAGATGCATGAATTGGACATAATTTTTGAATTCTGTCCTCTTAATGTATTAAACCCAATGGGAGGGGGGTCAATTTTTATGGGCTTTGTTGTTTGTTTGCTTATTGAGTTTTATTTTGCTTTGTTTTGTTGTTTTTATTTGTTGTTGCTTTGTGAGACTGGCTATCCTGGCTGCCCCAGAGCTTACTGAGATTCACCAGCCTCTGCTACTCAAGCGCTGGGATTAAAGTCATGGCACCAAATCAGTTTTTTATGTAAGTATTTGTTTGCTGTACATGTCCTTTCCCATGATGCATTTGATTTTACTTTTCTACTTTTGCTCCACTTCAGCATCTAATTTTAATCATATATAAATCAAATATTGCATAAGCATAAAATGGGCAGTGGGGGGTTTTACTAACAGTTCACTCAGTGGACACAGATTGCCTTACTATGCATGTTAGAATTCCTAGCCATTCCCCCATGATAGCGCATGCACTGGCACGATGCTTATTCATCCCAGGGCCTTACATGCTATGTAATCTGTGTGCTGTGTGATCACATAACTTGAGTATAGCGTGAACATATACAATCTATGTGCATGCGTGGCATAGGCCCATATTCACATGTGTGGGGGAGTCTATAAAAGTGGGTCACACATATCCCTCCCCACCTCTTCCTGCACTATCTTTCCATAGGCCTAAGCACATCCCTTCTGTTACCCTCCCCTTAATAAACTCTTATAGTGGATTTTGTTGTACCTCATGACTTTTCTCGCACAGTAAACAAACAGCGCTGCTTAATGAATAACACCGCATCCACCCAAAACCAGTCAAGGCTGAATTGGCCGACAGCCCCTAGGATTAAGACATGCTTCAGGAAGTGTTTGACCACAAAAAAGTACATACTAAGGATTGCTAGGGAGGTTTAGGTCTACGCAATGTAGGTGGGAGTCCCAGGCTGACAAGTGCATTTTTCAGCAAGGAGTGTATATTTAAGGTTTAAAATTTTATTTTGTGTGTATTGGTGTTTGCCTGCCTGCATATGTGTATGTATGCCAGGTATGTGCCTTGTTCCCGTGGCGGCCAGCAGAGGAAGTCAGATCTCCTGAAACTGGAGTTACAGCTGTGAGTCAACCTGCTCACCATCTCTCTAATCCCAAGACATGTCTGTCTAGCTCAAGCCAAATATAGGTTGCTAAGTTAACTCTGTGCTTGCTCTCCTAACCACCACAGTAAGAACTCCACACTCTAAACTCAGAACTGCAAAACTACAGTAAACTCAAACCCTAGCCAGCAGCTACCTTTTGACTAGTACTCGTGCTGAGGACTCCCGTCTCAGCCCCTATTCCTCTTTCTTGCCCCAGCTCTATCATTTCTTTGATCCTCTGCTTTGTCTTCTGGAAGAAGAAGCTCTATTTTCCTGCTCTCCCAGGCTCCCTCCTTCAAGGGGAGCCCTTGCCTTGGAGGAGGTGGGAATGGGGGGTGGATTGGAGGGCAGGACTGGGGGGTGGAAGGAGGAAGGACAGGGGAATCCGTGGCTGATATGTCAAATTAAGTTAATTATTTAAATAATTATACTTAAATTTAAAAAAATATATATTTAAAAAAAAAAGAAAGAAAGAAAGAAAGAGGGTGGACCTGGAGTGGACATACAAACTCTTGCTTGTGTTCTCGATCCATGTACTCCTGTTGTCAATGGGCAAAAGAATAAGCAACCTTCTTTCTCGACATCTCTCTGGACTGCCTTTCTCTCCCTTCATCACCTTCCTCGTGGGGCCGTACAGGCTGCACTCAAACTGTGGGAGAAGAAACAGGAAACAAAGTGGCCAGACTTCCCTCGGACATGAATCATGAGTGCCAAGGTCCATAACCAAAATGGGAACTATGGAACATATGTGTCATGCTGCCATTGGGAACTTAAGTCCCAGGTCCTGGTCCCAGTTAGCTGCTTTGTGTAACTTGGTTTCTGCTGGACTTGTTTGGCTGGCCAACGTGCATAAGAAGACAGCTTTGTCTGTTCTCTGCTCTGCCTGCCTGGGGACTGTGACATGTTGTAGGAGAGATGCTTCCTCCTAGTTCCTCCTGATGCTCCCGCCTACCACTCACAGGCTTGTGAGACACTTTGTGATCCCTCCGTGTCTTTTCACAGGTTCCAGCCGCATCAACCCCAGACCCACAAAACCAACTGGATGGAAAGAGATTCCTCTCCCTTATGCCCCTTCAGCAGAAGAGGAACAACTGAAGGGGTTAAACTCTCACTTGTTCAACTGAATTTAAGTTTCAGTTCTCTGAGGGGCGGACAGCTGTCTCTCCCAACAAAAGGCCATTTATCAACAAATTACATTCAGGGTCAAGGGAGAGAAGAGAACATGAAAGAAGCCTGAAGTCAGGCCCACAGTGTCTCAAGGACAAGTCCTACAGCCCCCCTTCTGGATCACATTGGGACTTGCCCAAGCTTGTACAAATATGCCCAAAAATAAAACCTCAGCCAATTAAAAGTATATTAATAACCAATGCTTGCTTAACCGATTATGTTTGAGATGATCTCACTGTCCCTAAAATTCCCTTTAGCTATGTTTAAAAAGAGCCTACAAGCTCCTCTCAGGCTCATCACCATTTTGTACAGGTGAATGACCCCACATGCATGCTGGAATAATAAATGCTCTTTGCTCTTACATACTTGAGTCTGGGGTCTTCCTTCAGCATTTCCTCAGACCTTATGCAACTGTGCAAGGGGATGTGCAGGGACCATCTCCAACAAAGAATAAAAATAGACATTGTTTTTTAGGCCTATAGCCATGTAAACTCAGCACTGAGGACTGACAGTCTGTTAGGGGGATTTCAGCTATCAGTCTTTGTTGAGGTATTTCCCACAGCTTTGGGTAATCTGACATTCTCTGTTGTTAGAAATAACTTGAGGGTTGAAAAGAAAGAGAGCACCATCCCAACTGAAGTGTCTGGACAAGGCAAGTTTCACTCTTGATCAAGAAGGTGTGCTCAGCTGACCGAATGCACCTCAGGGGGTGCACTTGCATTTTACTCTAACTCAAGTGGTGGCTATGTCTTTTTTTTGGGGGGGGGGTGTTAGACCTCACAGTCTTAATTCAATTGGCTAGCCTGGATAGAATACAGGGAACAGAGGAAAAGAAGGAGGAAGAGGAAAAGGGGGGTCACTGCTTCAGCCATCAATTTCCTCTAATACAGCAGGGGGCTTTTGTGTAAATAAAGGGTTTTTTGGTGGGGGATCAAAACATTTGCATAAAAGTCTTCCGAGGTGGGGAAGATAAAAAGATTTGAATTCCTTGTCCTAAACACAAATTTTAGGTATTGGATAGAAAAGACTCATATATAATGTTGTTTATACTACATAGCCCAGATTGACCTTTAAGGTCTTTTAAGGTCTGGTCCTGCTGATCCCACTATTCCTGTTTTCTGTGGTGCTGGGGACCAAATCCAGGATGCACATGCTAAACCAGCACTCTATCAAGTGCCAAAAAACACAGCTTTCATCTTAAAGGGAATAAGAGAGAGTTTTTTTTTTTTTCCTGGAGCCATTTTGAGTGACCATGGTCCAGGAACACAGATTTAGACTACCCTAAATTCCATGATTCAACCTGGAAGCAGTTTCATAGATTTTTCTCGTTTTACAGAGCAAAGAGAGTCATAAATCAACGCACGTTTAAAACGCATCAGGCACAGCAAAATACAGGAAGCATTTCTATAGGCCCAAGATGCTGTCTGAACTTCAGGGCTGGTAGAAGCTAGTGGTCTGTTAATTCTGAAAGGTTCTTGAACAGCAGGGAGGTGCTCCCGAGGCCCCGCCCTTGCCCAGGGCAGTTAACGGTTGCTTAGGGAGGTGCTCACCAGGCCAAGCTTCTCTCCAACATACCGACTGTTAGGAGGTTTTTTCCTTCAGTGGTGCGGCGGCCCATAAATTTCCCAAGTTTCTGTGAGTCACTAATTAAACTCATTGTCTCACCAAGTTAGACTTGAGTGAGCCAAGTTCTTTGTTCTGCCGTTGGTTCCGTAATGGGGGTGGAGAAACATTTTTTTCATCTCTCTCTGGGAAAAGTTGACCCAGTAACTCCACATTCAAATGAGGTAAGGCATCCATCCTCCTGTCTTTTGGATCATGGAGGTCCGGTCCAGAATTTCAGGTGTGTAGGCTGAATTGTCAAATCAGTATTTGGTGGGAAGAGAAGGTAATACTGTAGCTCCAGGCCTGTTCTGAGGCTAAGAGGGGCACCTGCGTACTTCGGTCTATAGTGGAAGACTTGTATGCCCCAAGCCCCAGAAATCGTATGCGGATTCCAATCCCAAGCGTGGGGTTCATGCACGAGACAATGTGTGGTTCTTGGCATGCCCGGTTCCTATCTCCTCAGGGCAGGTATAATTGCCCTGAATTTTCTAATTTTGGGGGGCAAGATCTCAGTGCTCAGTGCTTTTTAGGGCTGCCAGTTAATCTGTAAATGCAGAGTCAAGGTGTTTCCTTCTCTTTGGGATTGTTCATGCTTTGGCAGTTCAAGTGGAAGGGGAGAGGTGTGGTCCTCTCAGGTAATAGTTGCTGAGCTTTTATCTGGGTTGATGCCCCAGCCCGCTCCTGGAATTCAGGTCCTTAGGCCCCCAAATAGCATTGGCAGGAGAAACAGGCACAACTTTGTTAGCAGATGCACTTCCAATGGAGGAAGCCAGGTAGAGCAGGCACAGGAAGGGGGAGTTCGCATTCATCTGCATAAAGTGCTTTACTGAGCATCCTGTAAGGTGTACTCCTTCACACAACTTAGCAGCTCATATCTCCATCCAGGGGTGTGCATTTGAGTAGTATTATATGCCGCAGATTACTTTCCAGCCTGCCTCTGCTTGCAACAGTAGCAACAGCAACTTTTAGTCATTTTTTTTTAATTACATTTAATTTAGTATGTGCAAGCATGTTGTCAGAGGACAATTTTCAAGAGTTGTTACTCTCTTTTCACCATGTGGGACTCAGGGATTGAACTCAGGTTGTCTGGCTTAGCAGTAAGCTCCTTTACCAAATGAGCCATCTTAGCTGTTTGTATGGGCAGGACTTTTCTGAGCGTACATTACCTGTTAAACTAATCCTACTTACAACTTCAAGCTTCCCTTGTCTCTTAGCATCTTAATTCTCCACCCCAGGTGTGTTTTAATATTAAAATGTCTTGCATTCTCGGGGGTTTCCAGCCTTTCATATGTTAAATTTGCAGTCCTTGCCCAGCGCTATGACTTTGTCCCTGCCCTGTTCTGCCTCATTATGACACTTGCTGTTTCAGAAGCAAAATGCTCTCTAAATAAATTGAGGAAGGCTTAGTGAAATGCCACAAACTAATAACGGGAGTCTCATCACACTGTCTTCCACGCAGACGCAAGAGATGGTTTTTCTGTAAAAGTGCTTGCTGCTGGGCCTGAGGACCAGAGTTTAACCCTTGAGACTCACATGGTCAGAGAGGACTACTACCAGGTTGTCTTCTGACTTTTACACAAGCACTACGGCACCCATGTGCCTACACGTGCATATGCACTTGTGATTAAAAAACATGGTGCTGCAGATGGTTTTGCATGTTGGAAACAGGAGAAATTTTAGTGCGTGGGAAGGGTGCTTCTGTGCACTACTAGGTTAGTGACCAGAACATAAAGTAGGGTTTAGCATTGTGTTTACAATCCTCACTGTTTACTGTGATTACAAAACTTGAGTAAAATTTAATGTTTCAGCTGTGTTTGTTTATTCAGGGAATTGATCTAGTCAGGATGGAATTTATAATAATGAGAAAGCCCATTAAAGGGCTAAACAGATGGCCTAAGTGGTTAGTGGCTGCTCTTTGACATAGAAATGCAGGATATATAGATATGATAGGATGAAAGGGTAGATTATTGAATCTACTTTTAAAGAGCAACTTGTTTTGAATTGCTATGGATTTTAGTTTATTGATACAAATTTAAAGTTAATTTTGTTATACTGTATGTATATTTCTACTCTGTTTAAGGTATTATGTTTATGTAACTCATTTAAAATGGATAGTTAAGAAATACAGATTAATAATTAGTTTTCTATGATAGTCAAACTTCTAGTCATGTTAAATTTTCTAGGTATTCATAGATATAATTCAATTAGGTAGGTTATCTTCAAACACTTCAAAGACCTACAGAATATGGCATTTAAAATGTTTTAAAAACTTAGACTTTCTGGACAGTGAGACATATCTGTTCCTGGCAGCACTGATTTACTTCAAAGAGAAAGATGGGCATCAGAGACACTCCATATGGAATTTATCTTCTTGGCAAAAATAGCCATTTGGGCAAGAAACTGTTCTTGCCTGGACTGCTTGACAAAATGTTGTATCAGCTGAACATGCAGGACCCATAGGAAGGTGACCACTGAACTTTGTAAGACGAGATGGTCCTTCAGGTTCCTGCTTTGCAGAAGAAACTGCCAGACATTCTACAGGACACAAAGCAAAGCGACTGAGAGACTCTAGGTCTGTGGGCTAAAGATGGATGCCCCAACTTTGCAGAGGAACTTTGGATGACTGTCCAGGCAGACAGCTGTCTCGGTCATTCTAAATTTTTGGAAGTTGCTTACAATGCTCTTCCTGTTTACTTAGATAATAGTATATCCTTCTGGGGTCTTTGATGTATTTGATGACTAGATAGTTACAATTTTCCTTGATTATGATAAAAAATAAATTAGATATAAAACTTTAGATTCACAAATATAGGATAGATAGAATATTTTCTTTAATTGTGCCAAATACAAATAGACTAGATATTATAACTGTAATTCTTGCTTGATTATTGTTTTGTTATATGTAATTTTACTATGTTAAAGTTAAACCCTTCCTTTTTGATTAGACAGAAAAGGGGAGGTGCTGTGGGATGTTCTGTATGCTGTGAATGTGTTGCTCTGATTGACTGATAAATAAAAAACTGATTGGCCAGTAGCCAGGCAGGAAGTATAGGTGGGATAAGCAGACAAGGAGGATTCTGGGAAATGGAAGGCTAAGTCAGGAGACACCAGCCCACTGTCCAGGGAGCCACATGTAATGACACACAGGTAAAGCCACGGAACACGTAGCAACATATAGATTAACAGAAATGGGCTGAGTTTAAGTGTAAGAGCTAGTCAGTAGTTAGCCTGAGCTAATGGCTGAGCAGTTTTAATTAATATAAGCCTCTGTGTGCTTATTTGGGTCTGAGTGGCTGCAGGACCACAGGACAGTGGGAGCTGGGCAGGACCAGGAAAACTTCAGTTACAGCTCTTCCACAGGATCTAGGTTCAATTCCTAGCACCTACCTGGCTACTCACAACTGTGTGTAACTCTAGTCCTCAGTCCCAGGTGATAAGATATCTCTATGAGCACAGCAAGCATGTGGTGCACAGACATACGTGTATGCAAAACACCTATACACAAAGCTCATGACAAACAGGATGTAGGCCACATACCTTTTTATGAGTTCTTATGATGGAGTTAGATTGCTTATGAATTTGCAAATGTATTTAGATTTGTGGTGTAATAGTATGTATTACATGTATATTTGTTTTGATTTTGCTCTAGATTCTGACCCAAATCCTAAAAGCCTGAGAATAGGTACTTCTTTGCTTATTTACCTTG